CAAGCATTTCTAACTAAAATGCACTGCTCTGCCTTGTAATGATTCAGTTGGCCTGCGGGCAGGCCTGGTCAAGGTCGTCGGCATCTCACTATTTCCACGAGAATTCACAGAAGCTTCGGCAAGGACGTTCGGTTTTAGGATAGAGGCTCGGCAAAAGGCAGATTTGCGAATGCCGTTCAACAGTGCCACGTCTCGACAACAAAAGCGTTGAAACGCACGCCGCGCACGCGTGCACGGTGGTAACAATCTGCATCCAGACCAGACGTTTCTCCGCGAACCAGACCGAACCGCTAAGATCACACTAACAAACCCCCGCACTCTCCCCCCCACCTCCCCTCACTTCCCAAACCAGGGACCCATCTCTGTCCAGGGCCCCGACCTGCGGAGGGTCATCCCCAACCAAACCTTAGTGCGAGCAGGTTGCCTCCCGCGACATTTCTCATTCGTTTCCGTACCTGATGAACAGTAGTGGCCGTGCAATCGCTAGCTGCCTGGCTTGACCATTCTGGCGATCAACCATTGGTCATCGCTGTTGCTGTCACAATTGTGGACAGACTCGCATACTGTCGCATATTCCTCAGGGTTTGGGAGTGCAATCTTGACGGTTGAGTGACTCCGTCAAGCACCCCAGCTCAGCACGTAGGAAGGAGATGTGGTCCGCCTCGAGCCTGTTATCTACAGTCTCTCGGAGTCCCCAAGCCGAACTCGAGCCCACAAGCTTGTGGGCGGTCACCGCACGGAAAAACCCCGCGTTTTGCATACGAAGGTACACAACCTTTTATAACTGCGCTAAAAAACGAACCTTGGGCGATCGATTCTCCACTTTCACCGCGTACTGAAGGGGCGCGGCTGTGCGGTTCGCCTAACCTCGGCCAGGCCTAGACCCTCCAAACCGAAGCAGATCCTCATTGTCGTCGTCATGCTTCCCTGCGGGCTCCCCCACCTCGCCATCGCCAACCTCGATGTTGCCGCGGTGGAGCTGGGCTACGAACTTACCAGCCGCTGGTAACCAGCCAGCCTTCTGCTTCGCCCTTCCCTTCCCCTCTCCATCCTCCCTCAATCTACGCCTCTGCTGGAAATGAATGTTTCTCTCCTTTTTGAACTTTCACCGCACTGCACCATACCATTGGCTTACTGAAATGTGACACAACGTGCAAAACCCATCTCAAAGTTCGAACTTCATTGGCCTTCCTCAATATTAGCGAAGCGAAGACACCCTCTTTCATGGACGAAATCCATTCATGGCTGCTCAGTTCCTCGTGTTATCAAAACTGACAACCTGCACTGCAGTGGTACTAATGTGACATGACGTAACGTGACTCTGATCGCCAGTGATAGAGTAACCCGACGGATAGTAAGACTTCTAGTTCCTTTCGAGGCAAATGGCTTGTGAAGCTGTCAGCTTCGGGATGATCGTCTAAAACAATCCTGAGTTAGTGTCAGAGACAATATAAGTCCGTTTCTGATGTTCCCGAGGATTTGAGTTGTCACCGTTTAACGCATTCCAGGTAGATTTCATTTCGGTGTCCTGCAGATGGCGCTAGCATATGTTAGTTTTGCCTTGAGCACGCGCAGAGACTATCAGAAAAGGTAGACAGAGTCACGTTTGGAACGAGAGTGAGTGATAGCGAGAGTAAGTTCGTATATTGAGTACTCTATCTACAACATTATACAGTCATTATCCGTCGACGGTTCAACGCCTCGCTGTAGGATACGCGATGTGGTCAGAATCGTAGCAGCGAACTTCCGCTCGCGACTCGTCACGCTGACGATGAAACGCTCCGCCACGAACGACCTTTTAGCGCGTACCACCATTTCCGCATTGCGTTTCAACTCCGCGACGAAGGGAAAATGGATGATGCGAGTAATAGTCCGCGACTGGTAGCGACACGGCGATTTCGTATGACTCGCCGACTATCGTGCGACGGCGATCCGGAACCTAGCGTCAGACTTCACGGTGGTAACGAGCCGATAGATCAATGCGATCCGCATCAGCCGTACGATCCACGTCATTCATACGGCCCACGCCAGCACACTATCTATAGACCTCCAACGAAGAGATACCGGCGACCCGCCGCGAAGATCTTGAGAATATGGCTCGCCTCGCTGCTTATAGTCAGCCTGCTCTCGCCGGCGAATCTACCGGCCGCCGGCGAAGGTAACGGCCTTCCGCTCGCTTCAAAAAACGTCAACTCAGATTCACCACTTCTCTCCGTTGATTTTGCTTGTCCTCGCCTGCGTTGACATCATCCTCGGTATAAGCTTGAACGTCATCTCACGAATAAGCTCCTGCATTGTGTCTTGCTGCGTTGCACGAGACGCCTGCTGCTAATGAAAATGCCGTTCGTCTGGCTTCTGTGTCGACTAATAAGACTATCTGGTTAGATGCGGTCCGATGCGGTGATAGCCGGCCGGGGAATGCACACCGTGTAATGGTGTAACCACGTGTCTATCACATCGCATGAACGTGACGTTTGAGTCGGCTCAAGTGTCACCTCGTCATTGCAACCTTGTTTCAGTCACATCACATTACATCACACATCATACCATATCACATCACATCGCATTGCCTTCCTTTGCCTTGTGGTCCGGTGCGCTTGCGTTTGCGTGACGTAATGCAGAGGTCCGGTGGTGCGTGGTGGAAGGTAGTTTCTCCTCTCTCTGCAAGAACCTCCTCTTACAGTCACACCCCGGCGGCGACGACAACACCTGTGACTCGGACCAATCCCACCCACCGTGCTGGAAGTGGTGTGTTTCCACCTTCCACCTACCCTGCACAACAGCATTCCATCTTTAGACGTCTCAAAAATCGTACGCTTAGGGCACTTCAGAAGTGTTTTTTAGGCTCGCCTCGGCCTTCTCCCCTCTCCGCCGTTTCTTTTGAGCTGACAAAAGTCCAGGGAATCCGTTTTTCTATCCGTTATTCCCTTCCCTCACCCTCCCTCCCTCCTCCCCCTCTCCGTCCCCCGAACACCAGCGTTCCGCGCGCCCTCGACCAGCACTGCTGGCGAGCGCTGCTGCTCCCCCCACGCCGCCCCTGGCGCTGCTGACGTTGCGCTTTTGTCTCCGCCGTTGGATCTTCTACAATCGGATCTCGCAGATGGCTTGCAGCAGACGCAGCAGCAGCAGCAGCAGAAGGAACAACGAGTGCCAAGATATCAGCAGCAACAACGGGAAAAGCAGCGGGAGCAGCAGGGAGAGGAGGTACAGATAGCTAGAGGGAATGCAGGTGGGCAGCAGGGGCAGATGCAGTGGCAAAAGCCGTGGCAACAAAGAGTAGAGGATCCAGTGGATCAGGAACAGACGCAGCTGAAATCGAAGCATGGGCAGCAGGAACAGCAGCAGCAGAGGCAGCAAGAACAGCAGCAACAGCAGCAGCAGCAGCAGCAGCAGAAGCAGAAGCAGACACAGAGTAAGGCTCGACGGAGGAAAGCAAGGGGTGCCAATCGACTAGCAGCAACGGCTGCTGGTGCTGGTGCTGCTGCTGCCGCTGCCAGATACGGCAACATAACGAGCGGGTCAGTAGGGGTGATTGTGACAGGCAGTATGTGCGACAGAATGCCAGACCTGCTGGCTCGGGTGGGGCTTGGAACGGAGGCGGAGGAGGTCTGGAAGCAGCAGGCTCGGCAGCAGGGGAAAGACTTGGTCGGGAACATGCGTATGTGCTCTGGAGAAGGGGTTATCTCGTGCTTAAATCTGCTGCATGAGACGGAGCAGGCGACCAAAGAGGAGGGAGTGGATAGCAGTAGCAGCGGTGGCAGCAGCAGCAGCAGCGGTGGCAGCAGCAGCAGCAGCAGCAGCAGCGACAGCGGCAGCAGCAGAAGGGGAAGCGGCCAGTGGTGGCACTCCTGTGGCTGGCAGGCAGCCACGTGGCGGAGCGTGATTGGCAGGAGCTTCTGGCGGAGGTGAATGAGAGCGGGTCGCTGCGGCTGCTGTGTGCTGATGGCTCATGCTCCGATATCCGCCTGGACTCGCTCTGCTGGTATGCTACCCTCTGCCGTGACTGCATGTGACGGTGATTGCTTCTCCCCATCTCTCTACCCCTGCTGCTGTGTGCTGATGGCTCGTGCTCCGATATTCGCCTGGACTCACTATGCTGGTACGTTAGCCATGACTCCATGGGCTGGAATGTTAGGTGACGTGACGGTACTTGTGTGTCTCCCCTTCCCTCACCCCCGCTGCGGCTGCTGTGTGCTGATGGCTCGTGATCTGACATTCGCCTGGACTCACTACGCTGGTATGTTCTTACTCTCGCTGCTTGTATGTGCTTCCCCTCTCCATCTTCCCGCGCTGCTGTGTGCTGATGGCTCGTGATCTGACATTCGCCTGGACTCACTACGCTGGTATGTTCTTACTCTCGCTGCTTGTATGTGCTTCCCCCTCTCCATCTTCCCGCGCTGCTGTGTGCTGATGGCTCGTGATCTGACATTCGCCTGGACTCACTACGCTGGTATGTTCTTACTCTCGCTGCTTGTATGTGCTTCCCCCTCTCCATCTTCCCGCGCTGCTGTGTGCTGATGGCTCGTGATCTGACATCCGCCTGGACTGCTAACGTACCAGCAGCATGTGCTGATGGGACTCACTATGCTGGTACGTTAGCCTTGAACTCCCTGTGCTGCTATCTGCTTCTCGCTCCCTTGACCCCGCTGCTCCTGTTCCGATGGCTCGTGCTCCGATATACGCCTGGCCTCAGCTCTGCTGGTGTGCGCTCGGGTATAAGCCTTGACTCTGTCTAAATGAGAGCGGGTCGCTGCGCCTGCTCTGTGCCGATGGCTCGTGCTCCGATATACGCCTGGCCTCGCTCTGCTGGTATTGAGTCGAGTTTTGAGTCGACTCAAAACTCGGCCTCGCCCTGCTGGTAAGCTCCTTCAATCGCCTCCTCCTTTCTTGCCCCTCCCTCCCTCCCTCCCTCCCTCCCTCCCTCCCTCCCTCCCTCCCTCCCTCCCTCCCTCCCTCCCTCCCTCCCTCCCTCCCTCCCTCCCTCCCTCCCTCACTCCCTCCCTCTCTTCCTCCCTCCCTCCCTCCCTCCCTCCCTCCCTCTCTCCCTCCCTCCCTCCCTCCCTCCCTCCCTCCCTCCCTCCCTCCCTCCCTCCCTCCCTCCCTCCCTCCCTCCCTCCCTCCCTCCCTCCCTCCCTCCCTCCTGCTGCCTCTGCCACTCCCCCCCCCCCCCCCACCCACCTCATTCCCACCCCATCCCTTGCCCAACCCCCATCCCGCCTCCACCTTTCATCTCTTCCCTTCTCCCCCCCAACCAACAGGCTGCTGCCACCTGGCTCTCTCTGGCTGCGTCAGCACCGCACTGATGACGTGGCATGGCTTGCAGGGCTCATGGCGCGCCACGTCCTCATGCACACGTGGAACATCTCCCTCCCGTTGGCGCAACCTCTTTCCCCTCCTCCTCCTCCGCCTCCTCCTCCTGTTGCTTCTCAGCCCTCACTCACTCATCCTTCATCCTCCCATTCCTCAGATGCTCTCTCCAACTCACCCTCATCTCCCCTCCGTCACTCATCATTACCACTCTCTAGTCCCGATGGTTCCACATCAAAGCCATTAGCCACGTCAGGCCAGCCATTAGCCACGTCAGGCCAGCCACTAGCCACGTCAGGCCAGCCATTAACCACGTCAGGTCAGCCACTAGCCACGTCAGGCGCAGTCTCAGCACCTGGAGATTCATCCGAGCTGGAGCAGAGGGAGACGCAAGAGAATACGCAGTGGTCGGGATGGGTGCAGCTCTTCTCACATCTGTCAAGAAAGGTGTGCTATCACCCACTCTTGTTCTCCCACTTATTCTTCCACCATCGTCGTTTCTCTCACACGAACTCCTCTGACTGACTTCCTCTGCTGTATCCCATCTCCCCTCTTCATGTCCCTCACTCCCTTACTCATTCCCTCACTCACTCCTACCCGTGGCCGCTTGCTCCCCTCTTGCTCTATACCCCCCTTTATCCAGGTCACCTTTCACATGCACTGAGTCCTCCTCTACATGCGCCAAGGGTGGTAGCCAATCACTGCCTGCCAACTCCCCCTCACACTCTCATCACTCTCTCACTCACTCTCATACTCCCCTCTTGCTCTCCTTCCCCCCTTTTTTCAGGTCACCTTTCACATGCACCGGGTCCTCCTCCACATCAGCCACTCACTGCCTGCCACGTCACATGCTGCTGCCACATCACACACTGCTGCCACGTCACACACTGCTGCCACGTCACACACTGCTGCCACGTCACATACTGATGCGCCTGCCACGTCAGCTCCCGAAGCTGCAACCACCACTGCCGCTGTCACGAGTTTGCTGACTCCGCGGCTTCTCTCCCTCATCCCATTCTCAACAGCTTCCTCATCCTCGCTTGTAAGTGGCTCTTGCAGTGCAGTGTGGTGCAGTGCAGTGCAGTGCGGTGCAGGGCAGTGCAGTGCATTGTATTGCAGTGCATTCAAGTAGCTGCTTGCTCCGCGTCTGCTCTCCCTCATGCCGTTCGCATACGCTTCCTCACCCCTTCTCTCCTCTCCTCTTCCTCTTTCTCATTTTCCATGCATGCTTCTTACATCCATTCACTCATGCATGCATCATACATCCATTCATTCATGCCATGCCTCTGTTGTTCCAGGAACTGGCATCAACACCATCGTCACACACCCTTCCTCCATCCCTTCCCTCCCCTCCCCTTCCTCCCTCCCCTCCCTCTCCTCCTCTTCCTCCCTCTCCTCCCTCCCCCACCTCTCCTCCCTCTCCACCTCCTTCCCCTCCTGCGACTCCCTCGCCCCCCTTTCCTCCTCCTCATCTTCCTCCCCCTCCTCTCCCTCCTTCCTCTACCCCTTCTCCCCTCCCTCCACCCCAGCCCCCGCCACCACCACCACCACCGGCTCCAGGTCAGCTCCTCTCCACCCCTTTCACACCCTCTCCACCACTCTCACATCATCTCCACCCTTTTCACATCTTCGTGCGAGCTGTGTCCCACAGACTGATGTGTATCTCTCGTTTTGTTTTGGTGTCAATGATGGTTCATTACATATATGTTCCTATTCGCTCGCATTCATAGACTGTCTTAGCCCCATTACGAATATCTCGTTTCAGTGCGATAATTCATTCAAACATAGTCTCTATTTCGCCTTCACAGGCAAGCCGTGATTGCAATTCGTCTCTGCATCCTGCTAATCACCGTCCCCTTTCTTTCCCTTTTTCTCTGTTTCTCTTCCCCTGCTCTGTATGTTTTCCTGTTGTTGCCGTCCCTCTTCCCCATCTTCCCCATCTTCCCCGTCCTCCCATCCTCCACGCCACACCTTATCGCCATTCCTCCGCTCCTCAGTCCCCTCTCCTCCTAGCCCCCCGGGCCCCCCTCCCCCACCTCCTCTTCCGCCTCCCGCACCCCCCCCCGACCCACTACCCCTTACTGCCCCCATTTGGGGATCTCAACTCCCCTGCATCCCCCCCTCCCTCCCCCCCTTCACCACCATCTCCCCCCGTTCCTCCTCCCTCCCCTCCCCTGCCTTCCCCCCCTCCTTCCCCCCTTGCCCCTCCTTCCCCTCCCTTTTCTCCTCCCTTTCCGCCCCCATCACCTCCCTCCCCCTTTCTCTCCTCCCCTCTGTCCCCCCCTCTTGGTGATATGAACTCCCCCACCTCCCCTCCCCCTTCCCCTCCCCGACCCCCCTCCCCCCCTGCTCCTCCCCCTGTCCCCCCTTCTCCTCCAGCCCCCCCTTCTCCCTCTCCAGATCTCGCCCCTCCCCCTCCAAACCTCGCTCCCCCTCTACCCCTCCCCCCCCACAGCCGCGCTCCCCCCCTCCTCTCCGCCTTCCCCTTCGCCCTCAGCGCCCCCTCCCCAAGAACCCCCTGCGCTTCCTTCCCCTCCCCCTCCTCCCCCTTCCCCCTCCCCGTCCCCTCCCCTATCCCCCCGCCCCCCTCGCATTCCGCCTAGCCCACCCCCCGTCTCTCCCCCTTCCCCTGCCTCTCCCCCGCCTCCCTTCCCCTCCCCCCCTGCGCGCACACACCCCCCACCTGCCAACTCTAACGATATGGGTAATGCCACAGAGCCTCCCCCTCCTTCACTCCCTAATCCCCCCCCTCCCTCACTCCCTAATCCCCCCCCTCCTCCTACTCTTCTCCCCCCTCCTCCTGCCCCTGCTCCCCCACCCTCCCCATCCCCTCCACCCCACTCTCCCCCATTTCCCCCCACCCCCCCGTCCGTCTCACCCCCCTCACCTCCCCCCTCTCCTCCTTACACCCTCGGTCCTATCCTCCCTGCTCCCGTTCTCTCCCCTCCCCAACCCCCTCCCTACCCCCCTCCCCAACCCCCTCCGCACCCCCCTCCTCCTTTCCCTCCTCCAGGCTTCCCCCCTTCTCCCCCCATTTCTCTCCTCCCTCCCTCGCCTCCAAAAAAGCCTTCCCCCCCTCTCTCTCCTCCCTCCCCCCCCTCCTCTCGTACCCTCACCACCCCTCGCAAAGCCACCTGCCAACTCTCCCGCAACAGAACCCCCGCCAGTCAAACCACCACCGCTACAACCGTCACCTGAAAAACCGCCTGCTCCAGCACCAAAAGCACCTGAAATACCACCTGCTCCAGCGCCAAAAGCACCTGAAAAACCACCTGCGCCAGCACCAGCAGCACCGCCGCCACACCCGGCGTTCCTACCCCACCCCAACTCCTCCCACGCCCCTGTCACCATCTGGAGCCCTCCCCCCTCGCCTGTGCTGCCGCCCCCTTCGCCTGTGCTTCCGCCCCCTTCGCCCGTGCTGCCGCCCCCGTCACTTCCGCTGCCGCCCCCACCGCCGGATAGCAGAAGTGAGTTTTCGTCTTATCTCCTACGACTTGTTAGATCATTACTTATTTTTATCAGGTGACAGGGGAGTGACTCGCTGTCATCGTTCTGTTTTTTTTTTTTCCCCTACTTCATTGATTCACCAATACCAGTCTCTTATTTTCTCTCTTCCCCACGTCTCTAGTTCCTCTCTTCTTCTTCTTCTGAACATGTCATTTCTCACGTCACGTCACATGTTCTGCACACCACTTGCTTCTTTCCTCCTGTTCTCACTCCACTCTCCCACCTCTCTCCACTCTCTCCTTCTCCCTCTTCCCCCCTTTCCCACCAGATTGTCCCCCCTGCCCAAACACCTACGTCCTCCTCCCCTCCCCCACCCCCTCCTCCGCCTCCCCCGCCGTCCCCCCCTCCGCCCCTCCGCCCTGCACCTGCGGTCTCCCCATGACCGTGGTCATGAAGCTCTATTGCGGCTTCGATTCCTTCCTCCTCAACCTCCCGGCCTTCACTGCGCAGACTGCCACTTCACTCGTACTACAGAAGGAACAAGTGGAGGTGAGTCTCAGCTGAGTGCAAAATCATTCTCTATTCACGCTCACGCCATGCGGTCTCCCCATGCTGGTCGTTATGAAGCTCTATTGCGGCTTCGACTCCTTCCTCCTCAACCTCCCCGCCTTCACTGCCCAGACGGCCGCCTCGCTCACACTTGTGAAAGAGCAAGTGGAGGTGAGTCAGCGGGTGTGCGGTTGGGCTGAGTGGGTTATTCACCCTGCGGCCTCCCTTCCCATGGTGGTGGTCATGAAGCTCTATTGCGGCTTCGATTCCTTCCTCCTCAACCTCCCCGCTTTCACCGCCCAGTCGGCAACCTCCCTCGCACTGCAGCAAGAGCAGGTGGAGGTGAGTCAGTCAGCGGGTGTGCGGTTGGGGTGAGTGAGTGTGAGGATGAATGCAAACTTCCCCCTTGTTCATTGAGGTGGTTTTTGAGGCGCCTCAAAAAGGATGAATGCAAACTTCCCCCTTGTTCTCATCTGCGCTCTCCCCATGCTGGTCGTCATGAAGCTCTATTGCGGCTTCGATTCCTTCCTCCTCAACCTCCCAGCCTTCACTGCCCAGACGGCTACCTCCCTTGTGCTGCAGAGGGAACAAGTGGAGGTGAGTCTCAGCTGAATGCAAGCTCATTCTCTGTTCACACCTTCGGCCTCCCCATGCTGGTCGTCATGAAGCTCTATTGCGGCTTCGATTCCTTCCTCCTAAACCTCCCCGCCTTCACTGCCCAGACGGCTACCTCCCTTGTGCTGCAGAGGGAACAGGTGGAGGTGAGTGAGTGTGTGGTTGTGCTGTGGAGGCTATACCATGACCCCTCCCCATGCTGGTGGTCATGAAGCTCTATTGCGGCTTCGACTCCTTCCTCCTCAACCTCCCGGCCTTCACTGCTCAGACGGCTACCTTGCTCACGCTTGAGAAGGAGCAAGTGGAGGTGAGTCAGTCTGAGGGTTTGCAGTTGGGGTGAGTGAGTGTGAGGCTGAGTGCAAACTCCCGCCCTATTCGCACCTGCGGTCTCCCTCCCCATGGTGGTCGTCATGAAGCTCTATTGCGGCTTCGACTCCTTCCTCCTCAACCTCCCGGCCTTCACTGCCCAGACGGCTACCTTGCTCACGCTTGAGAAGGAGCAAGTGGAGGTGAGTCAGTCTGAGGGTTTGCAGTTGGGGTGAGTGAGTGTGAGGCTGAGTGCAAACTCCCGCCCTATTTGCACCTGTGGTCTCCCTCCCCATGGTGGTCGTCATGAAGCTCTATTGCGGCTTCGATTCCTTCCTCCTCAACCTCCCGGCCTTCATTGCCCAGACAGCAACCTCCCTCGTGCTGCATCAGAAACAAGTATGAGCAGTTAAATAACCGTGACCCGTGCTGCTCTGGATTTGAGAACCCACCGCCTGCTGCTCCACACCCCCTCCCCCTCCCCCTCCTCCGTGATCCTGCTGCCCTCTTCACCCTCCGTGAAGATGGTACTGTGTGTGTACCTCTTCACCCTCTTCCCCTTCCTTCTCCCACATTTGTAACCCGGTTACCACATCTCTGCTGCAGGTGTGGACAGTCAACTATGACCCTGATCCTGCCCCTCTTCCCCCACTTGTAACCCGGTTACCACATGCCGTGCAGGTGTGGGCAGTGAACTATGACCCTGATCCTGCTGCTCTGGATGTCACTGTCTATCTCCTACCCCTCGCCTCCTCCTCTTCCCCCTTTGCCGCTGCTGCTGCTGCTGCTGCTGCCACTGCCTCAATCGCTTCTGCTGCTGATGCTGCAAGTGCCACTGGTGCCCAAGGGGCGACGATAAGTGGTGGAATGGGTGTCGAAGCGAGACAAATCAAATCACCATCAGCAGCAGCAGCTACAGAAGCAGCGACAACTGCAACCTCCTCCTCCTCCTCACCCTCCTCCCATTCTCATCAGTCCTCGTCGTCGGGTAAAATCTCTCGTCTCCTGCAGTCCTCCTCCTCCTCCTCCTCCCGCCCGCCACCTGCCACAGCCGCCCGGCAGCAGCCAATCACGGACCGGCTGAGTGCAGCAGAGGTGGATCGCATCCGACGGCTGCTGTTGAGCGGATCGCTGGTGCTCGACCGGCAGCTGTTTGGGGCGTATGAGGTCATTCTGGTGCTCAAACCAGGTGAGGGGAGGATGAAGGGAAACAGAGAGGAAGGCTGCTTTGGTGGGTTGCATGCAGTGGCTGCTGTTGAGTGGATCGTTGGTGCTGGACCGGCAGCTGTTTGGGGCGTATGTGGTCAAATTGGTGTAGTAAGTCGATTTCTGAGTCGACTCAAAAATCAACCCAGGTGATTGATATAGTGATGACTTATTTGTGGGGTTCGTGCATCTTGGATATCATCTGACGGTTGCTGTTGATCGGATCGTTGGTGCTGGACCGGCAGCTGTTTGGGGCGTATGAGGTCATTCTGGTGCTCAACCCAGGTGAGAGTGATAGAGGGCTGATCAGTTGTGGGGAGGGGTCATCACCTGTTGAGTGGATCGTTGGTGCTGGACTGGCAGTTGTTAGGGGCGTATGAGGTCATTCTGGTGCTCAACCCAGGTGAGAGTGATAGAGGGCTGATCAGTTGTGGGGAGGGGTCATCACCTGTTGAGTGGATCGTTGGTGCTGGACTGGCAGTTGTTAGGGGCGTATGAGGTCATTCTGGTGCTCAACCCAGGTGAGAGTGATAGAGGGCTGATCAGTTGTGGGGAGGGGTCATCACCTGTTGAGTGGATCGTTGGTGCTGGACTGGCAGTTGTTAGGGGCGTATGAGGTCATTCTGGTGCTCAACCCAGGTGAGAGTGATAGAGGGCTGATCAGTTGTGGGGAGGGGTCATCACCTGTTGAGTGGATCGTTGGTGCTGGACTGGCTGTTGTTAGGGGCGTATGAGGTCATTCTGGTGCTCAACCCAGGTGAGTGGTCCCCACTTATGGGTAATGAAGGGATTCTGACCCCTTTCTTATCAACCCATGCCCCCCTCGCTCCCACCCACTTTGTTCCCGTCTCCCCCTCTCTCCCCCACTTCTCCCCGCCCTCATTCCCCCCTGTAACCCCCCCAGGTGAACGCCCGCCTCTGCCCCCGCCTCTGCTTCCCCCCTCCACCTCTCCCGCCCCTCCTACCTCCTCCTCCGCCTCCTCCTCCTCCCCGTTCTCCCCCTCGCCTCCCTCCACTCCACCCCCTCCTGCCCCCGGGGGCATGCCTTATTGGAAGGTCATGCTTATGATCGTTCTCCCTGCGTTGATCCTCGCGATTATTACTCTCTGTGTGGCGGTGTGGTGCGTGAGGAGGAGGCCTTGGGAGAAGGCAGGGAAGGGTGTTGGGAAATTAGTGGGGAGTTGGAAAGGGAACGGGAAAGGGGGACGAGGAGAGAGGAGAGGAGGGAGGGGAGGAGGGAGGGAGGAGGGAGGGAGGGGGGGAGAAGGGTGGATGGAGGGCGGGGCGGAGAGGATAGGGTGGGAACGTGGGGGAAGGTCGGGGCAGCAGGAGGGGGGGGAGGAGTGGGAAGAGCGGAGAGAGAGAGGACGAGGAGGTGTTGTTGGGCGGGTGGGTAGACGCCAGGAGAGGGAAGAGGTGCAGGCGTGGGCTGAAGGGGAGAGTGATGACGACCATTACACGCCGCTTGCATCAGGGGCAGAGAGGCAGTGGACCGGTGGAGGAGTGGCAGCAGCCGGAGCAGCCGGAGCAGCCGGAGCAGCTGGAGCAGGAGCAGGGATTGCAACTGGTTTAGGGGTAGCAGCAGCAGGAGCATTTGCAGAAAGAGAAGCAGGAGGAGGAGGAGTAGGCAGATTAGGAGGAGCAGGAGGAGTAGGAGGAGGAGTAGCAGCAGGCAGGGGAAAAGGAGCCCTAAGAGAAGGGTCCTCTAGAGGAGCCTCTATGCAAGCCCTAGCCCCTTTTGCTGAAGCAACCTTCTCATTCTCCCTCTCAGAACTCCACACAGCCACCAGTGGTTTCCACCCGAGCAACCTGATTGGCCAAGGCGGATCCAGCCAGGTGTTCCGGGGGTGCTTGCCGGGCGGCAAACTGGTAGCCGTGAAAAGATTCGATTCGCCGCCCGGGGCGGAGAGGGATTTTATTACGGAGGCGCGGCTTCTGAGCCGGCTGAACCACAAGAACGTGGTGAAGCTTCTGGGAACGTGCGACGAGGGCGGCGTGCGTTGTCTTGTCTTCCAGCTAGCCGAAAAGGGAAGCTTGAGGGAGCACCTCCACTCCTCCACCCTCCCCACCTCCACCCTCCCCTCCTCCAGCCTCCACCCCCCCACCCTCCCCTCCTCCCACTCCGCCCTCTCCCCTACTCCCACCATTCTAGACTGGACTACAAGGCTGAAAATAGCACTGGGGGCGGCCCAGGGGTTAGCTTACCTGCATGAGGACTCCAGTCCGCAGATTATCCACCGCGATTTAAAGACGTCGAATATCCTGCTGGATGCTGATTGGACGGCTAGGATTGCGGATCTGGGTCTGGCGAGAGTGGTGAGGGAGGTGGGGGGTGGCGGGCGGGGTGGGGGTGGGAGGGGAGGTGGGGAGGGGGCGGCGGGAGAGGAGGGAGAGAAGGGGGAGGAGGGAGCAGAGGCAGAAGAGGGAAGTGGGGAGGTGGGAGGAGGAGGAGGAGGCGAAGGTGGGGGCAAGGGAGGTTTGGAGTCCCACATGTGCGGCACATTCGGGTACATGGCGCCTGAGTATGCACTCACAGGGCGAGTGGCGACCAAGAGTGACGTGTTCAGCTTCGGTGTCGTGCTGCTGGAAGTGCTCTCCGGCCGCCCTGCCCTCGTGCCTCTGGATCAATTTCAGACGGCTGGTGATGCAGCAGCAGCAGCTGTGGAGGAGAGTGCAGGGGTTGTAAACGGTGCAGATGGTGCTGTAGGAGCTGTTGCAGAGGGAGCTGGGGCGGCAGCAGCTGAGGAGGAGAGTGCAGCAGTTTTGGAAGGTGCAGGTGCAGCAGCAGCAGGAGCTGCAGGAACTGGAGGGCCAAGGCCGGGTGTATCGAGCATCGTGGTGTGGGCCAGGCCCCTCCTCTCCTCGTACGTGCATGCATGCCTAGTTATGAATCTATCTTATTCCTCTAATTTTATTAGCTACAAACAGCTCTCCTCTCCTCTCCTCTCCTCTCCTCTCCTCTCCTCGCACATGCCTGCATGCATGCCTGGTTATAAATCTATCTTATTCCCCTCGTTTTATTCGCTACAAGCAGCTCTCCTCTTCTCTCCTCTCCTCTTCTCTCCTCTCCTCTTCTCTCCTCTCCTCTTCTCTCCTCTCCTCTTCTCTCCTCTCCTCTTCTCTCCTCTCCTCTCCTCTCCTCTCCTCTTCTCTCCTCTCCTCTCCTCTTCTCTCCTCTCCTCTTCTCTCCTCTCCTCTTCTCTCCTCTCCTCTTCTCTCCTCTCCTCTTCTCTCCTCTCCTCTTCTCTCCTCTCCTCTTCTCTCCTCTCCTCTTCTCTCCTCTCCTCTCCTCTCCTCTCCTCTCCTCTTCTCTCCTCTCCTCTCCTCTCCTCTCCTCTCCTCTCCTCTTCTCTCCTCTCCTCTCCTCTCCTCTCCTCTCCTCTCCTCTCCTCTCCTCTCCTCTTCTCTCCTCGCACATCTCTGCATGCATGCCTGTGCTGTAGGCGTTCTTGCAAATCCTCAATCTGATGCAAATCCAATCCCATGCCATGCCATGCCATGCCATGCCGTCCCACCCTCTCCCACCAACATCAAGCAAGGCCTGCCTTGCCAGCTTGCCGACCCTATCAATATAGAAGTTGCGAGTAATGAGACGACTTTTGGGGCGCCTCAAATCCCATCCCATCCCATGCCATCCCATGCCGTCCCACCCTGTCCCACCAACATCAAGCAAGGCCTGCGCCAGCTTGCCGACCCTCGTGTGGGCGACTTTTGAGTCGACTCAAAAGTCATCTCTCCCACCAACATCGAGCAGGGCCTGCGCCAGCTTTCCGACCCTCGTGTGGGCGGTACGGCACGGCAGCTATTCACTCGATTCCAGTCAGCTTTTCTTATCTTATCCCATCCATGTAGTGTTGGGACGTCTCAAAAGTCCCATCTCATCCCACCCCAACAGAAAGCAAGGCCTGCGCTACTTCGCCGACCCCCGTCTGGGCGGCAGCTATCCACTCGACTCCAGTCAGCAATTCGTCTCAAGACTCCCATCCCATCCCATCCCATCCCATCCCATCCCATCCCATCCCATCCCATCCCATCCCATCCCATCCCATCCCATCCCATCCCATCCCATCCCATCATATCCCACCCTCTCCCTCCAACAGAAAGCAAGGCCTGCGACACTTCGCCGACCCCCGTCTGGGCGGCAGCTATCCGCTGGAGGCCATGGCGCGGGCGGCAGCCATAGCCATGAGGTGCACAGAAAGCGAGCCTTCAGCACGACCATCAATGGGGGACGTGGTCCAAGCGCTCCGAGCCATCGCGTTCGAGCACTCTCCCATGACCAGGTGCGTGTGCTGGGGCACCGCACCCCTTCCTCTTCCTCTTCTCACGATCAATCAACCCCCTCTGCAACCCTGCGCTGGAGGCCATGGCACGAGGTCGTTTTTGAGGCGCCTCAAAAACAACCCCTGCGCTGGAGGCCATGGCGCGGGCGGCAGCCATAGCCATGAGGTGCACTGAAAGCGAGCCTTCAGCGCGGCCATCAACGGGGGAAGTGTTGCAAGCCCTCCGTGCCATTGCCTTCGAGCACTCGCCCATGACCAGGTGCGTGTGCTGGGGCCACCATACCCCTTCCTCTTCCTCTTCCTCTTCCCACGGTGACCTTCCTCTGCACCTTCTCCACTGGAAGCCATGGCGCAGGCGGCAGCCAAAGCCATGCGATGCACGCAGGGTGAGCCGTCAGCGCGGTGACTTTTGAGTCAACTCAAAAGTCACCTCGTTAGCACGGCCAGCCATGGGGGATGTCATTCAAGCCCTCTGCTCCCATGGCTGGCCGTGCATGGCTATGGCTCATTCAAGCCCTCTGCTCTGCTCCGTCTCCTTCGCTCTTGGAGTTCCTACCCGTCCACTTGAAGCGCACAAGTCGACTCACATGCCTCATCTCCTATCTTCTCAACTTGTCCCCCTTTTTCCCCTTTCCTCCTTTTTGAGGCGCCTCAAAAGAAGCTTACAAGCCGACTCAGGGTGCATTCCTGGTTGGTGGCAGGGCAACTGTTCACATCGAGTTGGTGGCAAGTGTACCCAAAAATTCAGTGGGCCAGACAATGCGCTTCCCACCAACAGTGCGATGAACAGTTGCCCTGCCACCAACCAGGACAAGTCGACTCACATGCCTCATCTCCTATCTTCTCAACTTGTCCCCCTTTTTCCCCGTTCCTCCTTACCTGCCCCCATCGCCAGGATGCTTTTGAGACGTCTCAAAAGTCGCCAGGATGCTGCTTGCCCCTGTGCCTGTGCCTAGCTCCAATTCATCCTCTTCTCTACCTTCTCATGCTCCATATGGTCAGACCGACTCACATCTGTCCTCTCCTTCTCGCCCCTCTGTTCCACTCGCCTCCCCTCCTCTTCCCCTCTCTTCTCCCCCTCTCCAGGACGCTTCTTGCCCCTGTACCTTACTCCACTTCCTCCTCCCATGCCTCCCCCGCCTCCTCCTCCTCCTCAGCCTCCTACCAACAATACCACCAGCAGCAGCACTACCATCAGTCACAACAGCCACTCGAGCAGGCATCAAGCACACGACAGAACAACCACCACCGCCACCGCAGCCACCAGCAACAGCACCAGCCCCAATCCCGGCACCCGCAACATCAGGAGCAGCAGCAGCAGTATCAGCACCAGTACCCTTCACCCAGTCCCCTGCCCTATCCATCCTTCCTCACTCCCAATCCCTTCTTTCTCCCATCCACCAACCCATCCTCCACCGCTGCTACAGCTGCTGCTGGTGCTGTGGTTGGTGCTAGTGTTTCTGGTGCTAGTGGTGTTGGCATTTCCCCCTCCACCCCTCTCTCTCGCCCCATTCACATATCCATGTCAGCTCCTCTCCTTCCCATCACTTCTCCACACCAACCCCTCCACCATCCTCTCCCTCAGTCCTATTTCCCCCCTCCCCAAAACGCCCCTACCCCTTCACCCATCCCCCCCTTGATGCTGCCCCCCAGTCATTCTCATTCCGCCTCTCTCCACCCCTCCGGGCCCCCTTTAACCTCACCGCAACACCTCTCAACCGCTCACCAACCCCTCACCTCCCAACAGCCTATCACCGCTCTCCACCTCTCCGCACCACTGCACCGACTCCCCCACCGCTCCACACCCCAACCCATCCCAGGCGAAGCCTCAGCGTCAAGTTCGGATATGCCGAACCTGGCAACCCGGTCTGGTTCGGCCGGACCAGGTTGGGCCTGGCCGAACGCAACAGAAGCCACTACCAGAGAAGTTAGCTGGCAGGGTGCTGCCTTTGAGTCGCCTCAGGAACAGATCAACTACACCACTAGAGACTCTAGTGCACAAACCCCCCCTGCCTCGTTTGTACAAAACTCTACTCGATTTTCCCAGAACTCTGCCCCGTCTGCCCAGACGCCTACCTCTTTTGCACGGAACCCTGCTATAGTGGTCATTGGCAGCTCGTACGGACAAGTACCACGGCCTTCTCACACTGCCCGTCAGAACTCGCAGGGAGTAGTACCGGCCCAGTTGCTGTTTGCTCCTCCTGAGCAATTTAGAGCAAGAACTGTGGCTGAGGCACCAGTAGTGTTGGACGGACGAGGAGAGGGTGGAGGATGGGGAGAGGGAGCAGCAGCAGCAGGAGGAGGAGGAGGAGGAGGAGGAGAAGGAGAAGGGAGGGAAACAGCAGCAAGAGGAACAGTTGTGCACCCTCATGCACAACAGCTAGGAGCAGCAAACAACCCTCCCAACAGAGCCACTCGCTCGCACTCCCACTCCTCCTCTCGCCCCACTCACTCCCACTCCATCCAGTTCCCGCTCTCCACTCCACACTCTCTCCCCCGCTTCCCCCCCTCTCCCTCTCACTCGCCTCACTCCCAGCTCTCTCACTCGCTCCCCTCTCCCTCCGCCTCCCCTTACCTTACTCAACCTTACACTACAGCCGCCCCCCCTGCCGGCCCCCCTGCTGCCTCCCCCTATGTCTCCCCTTCCGCCTCCCCAGATGCCTCCCCCTATGCTTCCCCCTACGCCACCCCCTCTGCTGCACCCTCCTCCCCCTCTGCTGCTCCGTCCTCCCCCCTGCATCTGGGTGACTTCTCCCCCCAGTCAAGAGGCGGCATTCCGAGGCTGCTCAGGATGAGCATTCGAGGACTCGACTACAGGTACGGGCCAGGCCTTGACTGCAGGTATGGGCCAAGCCTTGACTACAGGTACGGGCCAAGTCTCGACTACAGGTACGGTACAAGCATCACGTACAGGTACGGGCCTAGCTTTGGAAACAGGTACGTACCGAATCTTCACTACAGATTCGGTTGATTGCAGGTACAATCAAATCCATGTTCAATATTGCAGGTCTGATCGATTCGAAATCCTTGCCGGTCTCTCTTTCAATATCACAGGTCTGAGCTCATCGGAACTGGCAGGTCTCTCTTGTGTCTCTTGTTTCACTTGTCCCGTCTTTCTCCTCACATAGATGATCTGGCTCTTCATCCCACTTCATCTGGCTCTTCATCCCACTACATCTGGCTCTTCATCCCACTTCATCTGGCTCTTCATCCCACTTCATCTGGCTCTTCATCCCACTTCATCTAGCTCTTCATCCCACTTCATCTGGCTCTTCATCCCACTTCATCTGGCTCTTCATCCCACTACATCTGGCTCTTCATCCCACTTCATCTGGCTCTTCATCCCACTACATCTGGCTCTTCATCCCACTTCATCTGGCTCTTCATCCCACTTCATCTGGCTCTTCATCCCACTTCATCTGGCTCTTCATCCCACTTCATCTGGCTCTTCATCCCACTTCATCTGGCTCTTCATCCCACTTCATCTGGCTCTTCATCCCACTTCATCTGGCTCTTCATCCCACTTCATCTGGCTCTTCATCCCACTACATCTGGCTCTTCATCCCACTTCATCTGGCTCTTCATCCCACTACATCTGGCTCTTCATCCCACTACATCTGGCTCTTCATCCCACTTCATCTGGCTCTTCATCCCACTTCATCTGGCTCTTCATCCCACTTCATCTGGCTCTTCATCCCACTTCATCTGGCTCTTCATCCCACTTCATCTGGCTCTTCATCCCACTACATCTGGCTCTTCATCCCACTTCATCTGGCTCTTCATCCCACTACATCTGGCTCTTCATCCCACTTCATCTGGCTCTTCATCCCACTTCATCTGGCTCTTCATCCCACTTCATCTGGCTCTTCATCCCACTTCATCTGGCTCTTCATCCCACTTCATCTGGCTCTTCATCCCACTACATCTGGCTCTTCATCCCACTTCATCTGGCTCTTCATCCCACTACATCTGGCTCTTCATCCCACTTCATCTGGCTCTTCATCCCACTTCATCTGGCTCTTCATCCCACTTCATCTGGCTCTTCATCCCACTTCATCTGGCTCTTCATCCCACTACATCTGGCTCTTCATCCCACTTCATCTGGCTCTTCATCCCACTACATCTGGCTCTTCATCCCACTTCATCTGGCTCTTCATCCCACTTCATCTGGCTCTTCATCCCACTTCATCTGGCTCTTCATCCCACTACATCTGGCTCTTCATCCCACTTCATCTGGCTCTTCATCCCACTACATCTGGCTCTTCATCCCACTACATCTGGCTCTTCATCCCACTACATCTGGCTCTTCATCCCACTACATCTGGCTCTTCATCCCACTACATCTGGCTCTTCATCCCACTACATCTGGCTCTTCATCCCACTACATCTGACACTTGTTCTCTCACTTGTCTCTCGTCTCTCTCCTCCGTCTTCCCGCCCTCCCCTCTCTCTCGTTTGTCGCGCTTCTCTCTCTTGGCAGTGGTGACATGGCTCTCGATGCCTCCTCTGCATCGCTCCCACACAGCCAGCCTCCCTCACAGGCAAGTCGCCTGCTCTATCACCACCTTTCCCTCTTCCCCTCCTCCCCTCTTCCTCTCAAACCCCCTACTTCCCTGCCTCCTCCTCTCGTGATGCCTCTTCTGCATCTCTCCCATACAGCCAATTTCCCTCACAGGCAAGTCGGCCGCTCAATCTATTGCATCGCACCTTGTTACTCCTGTTTTCTTCCCTCCTTGCCCTCCTTGCCCTCCTTCCGCGTTCCCTCCTCCCCTCTTCCCTTTTTTCTCTCTTTTCCGTTCCGCTCTTCCCCCCAGTTCCAAATCCCCCCAGTTCTTCTATTAACGAATCCCACCAGATATTCTATGATGCATAGCACCCCTCAAACCCACGAATCCTGTTTGTCAACCCACCAATGCAGGAATTTTCCGGGCAATTCTCGCCTGATCACCCCAGTCACAGCACTGGTAACAGAGAGGGCAACCACACCAGGACCAGCAGTATCAGCAGAGAAGGAGATTATTACAGCGGCAATAGAGAGGGAGAGTATAGCAGCAGCAGCAGAAATCCAGGCGCCAGCAGCAGTAACAGCAGGCGTTTTCTAGGCTCAACCATGGGGCCACAAGCAGGAGAAGCACACAGTTAACACTCAGGTGACCCTGTTACAACACCTGTAACAGATCTGGTTACCAGCGACGACGATCACCAACCCCTGCTGAGAAGGTTGTGATGACCTGGCAACCAGGCGACCCGGGAGATTGAAGGACCAGCTGACTAGCTGACCTGGCAACCAGATAATAAGCTGACGTGACGGTCCAGCGACCTGGCGACAAGCTGACCTGACAATCTGGTGATGTGGTGACCAGCTGATCTGGCAACCAGACAAACTTAAGAGCCTGGTTACAAACAAGGACGAAGGCAAAAGCTGCAAGCGAAACTGCGATGCATGTTGCTAGCATGAGTGGAAATTTTTACATGTATATGAGTGTAGTTCCATATAGATGTAGAACTGTGACAACAAATAGCATCCAGATCATAGGGATGCTACCTCATGAACTTGGTTTGAGGTTTGAGTTGGTGTACAAGTGTTGAAACTTCGGATTTGACGTACAAGCCTCTATTGACTAGTTGAACAAAGAATCTGTTATTAAGCTCAGAATCAAACTAAGACCCAGATCATGCATTACAATTACAGAGCTTAGCACTACGGATTACATGGTGTAGTTTACTGACAAGATACACACTGCTTTATAATCATTTCACAAACAAGCAGGAACGAACACACAGACAGAGCTGCAGAGACTGATAGAAACTGTGGCAAATATGCCCAAACCCTAACACCGCTACAGAAATACACGTCCTTTTGAAGCAGCAGCTGCCTAGCAAAAACACAAGCTGCTAACACCGTATAATAACCTTGGAAAAGCCTCAAATGTCATTATTGATCTTGGTCAACGCGAACACTGTAGTCATCAGGTCTTGATCTTGGGAGCACAGAAGTGGTAATCAAGGGAGGACAGAGCCCTGCCAGCAGCGTCGGCTGCTCCTGCCACGAGCGCCCTGCTGGTTGCCACCACGAGCTCATTCAGCCTCTTGCTCTCCGCCTTGAGCGCCCTCACCTGCTCAACACGCTGTGTGGTTTCCTGTTGGTCAAATCGCACACAAGAGTGGGGGCAGGGAGATTTGGAAGAAAAGGGGTAAAGTAAAGCCTTTTTCTTTCCGCCTTGAGAGCCTGCACCTGCTCAACGCGCTGTGTGGTTTCCTGAAATGTGACATGGTGGGTTGAAAGGGAGATTAAGCTGGGACCTGAGAGGGCATTCAGCCTCTTGCTCTCCGCCTTGAGCGCCCGCACCTGCTCAACGCGCTGCGATGTATCCTGTCATGTGAGGCAGTGGTTTGACAGGGGAAGTGGGGGATGGATAGGAAGAATCATCAGCCACTTGGATCGTCTCTGCCCCGCATGCACACACCTCAGCTTCCCACTGTCATCGCTGATTTTGACTAATGACTCAATCCAGGAGCCCACCTCTTGAGTGTTAATTCAAACGTTTTCTCAAACTCCATTTTTCTGGCACCCACCCACACCACTCCTCACCTCAATCTGCTGTGCCAGTTTCTTCTCAGTTCCCTCCAGCATCATCCATCCCCAACTCCTATCAACCCTCTCTCTCTCTCACACCACTCCAGCAGGACTTTAGCATTCCTCTCACCTCTATCTGCTGTGCCAGCTTCTTCTCAGTCTCTTCCAACTTCACCCGTCCACGGCTCATCTCCCCTCTCAATGCTGCCACCTCCTGCTCTGCCTGCTGCCGTGCCGCCTTCTCAGTCATCAACAGCTGCAGCCCAGCGCCAGTGCCATCAGCACCGTCCCCTGATTCAGAAGCGATTAGCAAAGCCTCCTCCAGGTGCCCCTTCTCCTCCTGCGCCTCCCTCAGCTGCTGCTCCAGCCGCTGCACCACTGCAGGCAGGAGGGTTGGGTGGATGGGGAAGGTGGGGAGGGAGGGGAGGGGAAAGAGGGAGTAGGAGAGGAGAAAGCGTAAGCAGCGCCCCAGTGCCAGTGCCATCAGCACCGTCCCCTGATTCAGAAGCGATTAGCAAAGCCTCCTCCAGGTGCCCCTTCTCCTCCTGCGCCTCCCTCAGCTGCTGCTCCAGCCGCTGCACCACTGCAGGCAGGAGGGTTGGGTGGATGGGGAAGGTGGGGAGGGAGGGGAGGGGAAAGAGGGAGTAGGAGAGGAGAAAGCGTAAGCAGCGCCCCAGTGCCAGTGCCATCAGCACCGTCCCCTGATTCAGAAGCGATTAGCAAAGCCTCCTCCAGGTGCCCCTTCTCCTCCTGCGCCTCCCTCAGCTGCTGCTCCAGCCGCTGCACCACTGCAGGCAGGAGGGTTGGGTGGATGGGGAAGGTGGGGAGGGAGGGGAGGGGAAAGAGGGAGTAGGAGAGGAGAAAGCGTAAGCAGCGCCCCAGTGCCAGTGCCATCAGCACCGTCCCCTGATTCAGAAGCGATTAGGAAAGCCTCCTCCAGGTGCCCCTTCTCCTCCTGCGCCTCCCTCAGCTGCTGCTCCAGCCGCTGCACCACTGCAGGCAGGAGGGTTGGGTGGATGGGGAAGGTGGGGAGGGAGGGGAGGGGAAAGAGGGAGTAGGAGAGGAGAAAGCGTAAGCAGCGCCCCAGTGCCAGTGCCATCAGCACCGTCCCCTGATTCAGAAGCGACTAGCAGAGCCTCCTCCTGCTGCCCCTTCGCCTCCTGCGCCTCCCTCAGCTGCTGCTCCAGCCGCTGCACCACTGCACACGTGGGAGAGGTAGGGGAAAGAAAGGGGGGCTGGGTAGGAGGAGGGGAGGAAGGTAGGAGAGAGGGTAGGGGAAAGAGGGAGAATGGAGAGGAGAAGTCAGGTGATCTTGGCCTTTGTGCCACTGCACCGCCGCTGCACTTCAAAATAAGAGTTCTAAGATATCGTTAAGGCGTCTGAAAGTCAGGCTGGCTTGCGGTGTTTAAGTTTTTTGGGGAGAAAAACAAGCTAAATAAAATTAAAGAAAAAAAAAAAAAAAAAGAGGTGTAAATCTTACTTTCTCGGGCCGATGCCAGCTCTTTGGCCATATCGTCCCGTTCCATCGTAAGGCACTCCGTGGCCTTGGAGAGATTCTGCAGACGGTAGTAGCAATGTGAGAAGGCAACACCACACAAAGGCAGCACACATGCAAGATACGGGTGACAGACAGGGCATGAGAATGTATGAGAGAGAGAGCGAGGGGAAGAGGGGGGGTGGCAGACCTGCACGTGGGTGAGAGCCACAGAGGTGAAAGCACCAAGGAGCTCCTTCACTTCACTGCCATCCTCCCAATCCTCACTGCCCTCTTCCTCCCCATCCCCACTGCCCTCACCATCCACAAGTCCCCCCTCATTGCCCTTCTCCCCACTATCGCTCTCCTTTGAAGCCTCTTCAGCCATCAGCTCTTGCCCTGCGTCGCCTGCTCCCTCCTTCAGCAAACCACATGGATCACCACAGGACTGCACGGAACCTTCACTCTCCCCGCGCTGCCTAATCAGCATCCCAGAAAACGAGCCTGAGCTGTCGCTTGTCTCGTCTCTCCCCTCCCCCACCCCATGCTCCTGTATTGCTTCCATCCACTGGCTTTCTGTACCACGCTGGTCCAGCTGGTCTTTTGTGCTGCGTTCCAAACCCAACTCCTTGTACCCAAGACAGTCTGATTCTTGCTTTTCCAGGCGTTCTGGCACATGAAATCCGATACCCAGCCTCTCCTTGCATAATTCCTGCTGCCACAGCCGTTCAGGCTCATGAGATTCCATGCCATGCATGTCCTCGCTGCCTTGTCGTTCCTGAGTAAGTGTGTGTATATCAGTGCAACATCCCCTCCCAATTTCTATGACTACAACACTACTAATGTATTAGTCCCGCCTACTGTACTACTGCGTACCTCGGTGAAGGTCTGCTGTGCCTCCTCCATTCGCTGCGTCGCTTCCGCTTCAGCCTGCTCCAACCTGCAGTGACGCATGGGGGAGAATGGATGGACGAGGATGCATGATTAGCGGGCACCCAGATCGACTCTACCACATCCTTACCATCCCCCCCTTAGCCAACTCACTGGGCAGCCCACTCCTCTTCCACTGCACCACCCTCTCCGCCAGCTTCTGCTCCATCTCCTCCCTCTCCGCCTGCAGCGCCCTTTTGGGTAACACCCTAAGCAGCCATCCCCACCACACACTCTCACGCACCTATCCCATTCTCCCCATCCCTGGCCCATCAGACTCACTTGGCAGCCCACTCCTCTTCCACTGCAGCAACCCCGTCAGCCAGCTTCTGCTCCATCTCCTCCCTCTCCGCCTGCAGCGTCTCCACCAGTTCTTTCTGCTCCTCCAGACTCGCCTTGGCCTGCGACAGCTGCTCCTCCTGCGAATAGACCACCACCTGGACAAGCAGACGGGGGAAGAAACGGCACGTAGGGATGTGCATTTCAGTGGCAAGCTGTCCTGACAACTCGCTTTCGCCTGCGACAGCTGCTCCTCCTGCGAATACACCACCACCTGGACAAGGAAATCGGGGAAAGAAACAAAAGGGGAGGGTGTGCGCTTGGGTGTGGGGAACCTCTAGCGAGTGTACGTGGTCGTGTGGAGAGAAAGGGTGAGAGGAGAGAGGCGAGTGCTGGCCTCTAGGGAGTGCACGCGGTCGTCATGCTCGTCGATCGTCTCTTGATTCTGGGACATCAAGCTGAGGTGCCTTCCGAGTCAAACTCTACTAGTCAGCTCAGTGGGAGGTGGGGTACCTCTAGGGAGTGCACGCAGTCGTCATGCTCGTCAATGGTCTCTTAATACTGGAACATCAAACCGAGGTGACTTTCGAGTCAAACTTTGAGAGTCCCCTCAATGTAGTACCTCAATGTAAGGTGGGGTACCTCTAGGGAGTGCACGCGGTCGTCATGCTCGTCGATGGTCTCCTGCAGCGTGCGAGTGAGGATGCGGTACTCCTCCTCCTCGTTCACCATCGCCTTCGTCTTCACCTCCATCGCCTGGCGGTGCAGATGAGGGGAGAGAGCAGGGGCAGAGAGCGGGAAGCAGAGAGCAAGGGCAAAAAGGTCTTTAATTGACTGTCTCATGGAAGGTGCGAGTGAGGATGCGGTACTCCTCGTTCACCATCGCCTTCGTCTTCACCTCCATCGCCTGGTGGTGCAGACAAAGAGGAGGGCAAAGAGCAGGGGTAGAGAACAGGGGCAGAGAGCAGGGGAAGGGAGCAGGGGAAGGGAGCAGGGGAAGGGAGCGGGAAGCAGAGAGCAAGGTCACACAAGGTCTTTCAGTGGCTGTTTCATGCAGGGTGCGAGTGAGGATGCGGTACTCCTCCTCCTCGTTCACCATCGCCTTCGTCTTCACCTCCATCGCCTGGTGTCCAAGACATTGAGAAGCAGCGCAGAAGGGGGGGAGAACGAGGAGGAGCACAGGGCGGGCCAGACAGAGAGCAGGGACAGAGAGCAGGGGCACAAGGAGCAGGGCTTAACCGGATAGGAGTGTGCCTAACGCAGAGGGAAGATAGCTAGGAGGAAAGTAGCGAATAATAGACAGGCAAACAGCAGGGGGGAGAGCATACCCGAGAGCCGAAGAGTAGCGAGGAGAGGGACTCGTTGAGATGGTGGACGGTGGGCGCCACGTTGATCACCAGCGATGTCTTGGCGTTGCCTGGAAGTAGTGGGGGGGCGAAGGGGGGGAGGGAGAGGGTAGCAGGGTAGCAGGGAAAAGGGAGTAGAGCATGTTACGAGATGGTGGCCGGTGGGCGCCACGCTGATGATCAACGAGGTCTTGGCGTTTTCTGTGGGGGGGTCAACAAGGTAGTTGAGGGGGGGAGGGAGAGGGTGGCAGGGGAAAGGGAGTAGAGGAGAGGGACTCGTTGAGATGGTGGACGGTGGGCGCCACGTTGATGATCAACGAGGTCTTGGCGTTTCCTGTGGTGGGGTCAACAAGGTCGTGGAGGGGGGTGAGATTTGAGTCCCTGAATGACTCACGGGTAGAGACGTCATTTTTGAGACGTCTCAAAGATAACCTCTCTACATGTGGCTTCCTGTGGTGGGGTCAAGTAGGTAGTGGAGGGGGGTGGAAGTCCCTGAATGACTCACGGTGCGCGTGGGGTGTGTGCCCGGGCATTGCTGCTACAGCCAGGTACTAGCATGTAGAGATACCACGAAGAGAACCTGATGGTGCAAGGATGGTACAGATTCCTACCTCCCAGTAAACTCCTGCGGCAGGCGTTGAGCGTCGAGTCCCTGAACGGCACACGGTGCGCATGGGGGCTTGCCCGGGCAGTGCTGCTACAGAAAGATATTCACTTGGTCGTTTCCAGAGGGATGGTACCGATTCTTACCTCCCAGCGACTCCTGCAGCAGGCGCGTGAGCTTCGAGTCCCTGAATGGCACATGGTGCGCGTGGGGGTCTGCTCGGGCGTTGATGCACTTCCCTGCAACGGATGAAGAGACAAGGATGGTTGTGAGCACAAGGAGACAGCCATCGGATGGTTGTGAGATGTGTCCAGAAAGGATGGCTGTGAGCGGCAAGGCAGGGGCACAAGGAAAAGCAGGGAGACGTGGTTTGCCAAGCGGAAAGGGGTTATGGAACGTCTCAAAGCTGGACAGAGGAGGGCAGAGGGAGGCAGAGGGAGGGCAGGAGAGAGCAGGGAAAGGAGGGGAACGCAGTGTGGCACCTACCTAGTACGGTCAGGGACAGGTTGACGCTCTTGGCTTCGCTGGCTCTGAGACCCTCCGACCCTGAACACACCAGGCGAGCAACAAGCAGCAATCAATACGCGGGGCATAGATGCGTACAGATTTGCGAGCAGAAAATGAAAGATTCACATCAGGTAGAAGAGTATTGTCGCATACAAGACATGTGTACGAGACTAAGTAACCCGGTACACACGCACCTGACTTCTTGAGCCGCTCTGAGCCTGCAAGGTCCACCAGAAAGAGCTTCCCCACCAGAATCCTGGGTTCGCGGAGATAGGCCGTGGAGCAGAGGTGGACGGAAGGAAGGAGAAGAGTGGGGGGGAGATGGGTTGAGTGTGAGGAAGGAGAGTGGGTGGGAAGAGTGGTGGGGAGAGTAAGGGAAGGAAATGGAGGAGGGGTTGAGATGCTGCGCACGCACAACAACTCACACATCAATGTCAGTGCAGCGCACGCATCAACATCAACACAAAGTGCGCACTCACTTGTCCTTCTTCTCTGGCTTGCGGTGCTCGTCGCTCCCGTGCCCCGCTGTAGCAGTTGCAGGCCCGGAATGCGCCTCAGAGTCGCTGCTCTCCGCTTCCTTCCGCCGCTTCTTCTCCACTGTGATGATCGCGATGGCGTGGCTGCGCGACGAGTGCGCGTTCTGACCAGCGGAAGGGCAAAGAAGAGGGAAGGGGCGAAGCAAGGAACACGGGAAACAGACGAGGGAGACGATACAGACGGGACGCAAAGCAAAAAGTAACATTCAGGCGCTAGAAATGAGGCGCTAGTTGAAGGGCCGAACCTGGCCATCTTTCAATGTCGTTTGCGGGGCTATGTAACGCAGAGAGTCAGCACGAAAACTCGAGCGATCGTATCTCGTGGAGTAACCCTGACCCTCGCAAACGAGCAATAAGTAAGTTTCATTGTCACGACACAGACTGCACAGGAGAACAGAATCTCCTGTCCTTATAACGAGTCGGGTCGGGTCTCGTGACCCACCATCTTTGTGAAGGCGACGGTGCGGTTCCTCTCGCCCACAGCCAGCAGCTTGAGGCAATCTTCCACGCACGTCACCTCCACCTCCTCCACCCCCGAGATGTACACCCCGTTCTCGCTCTCCCGTATTTGCATGTTGGAGCTCGATGGACGCAGCAGATCTTGAATCTGGGAGCGGGGAGAGGGGGGGGGAGGGGAGGAGAGGGGAATAGGGGACGAACGTGAAAAGGGCGACAGGCGTGCATCACTCGCTCTCCCGTATTTGCATGTTGGAGCTCGATGGACGCAGCAGATCTTGAATCTGCAGAACCGAGCCGAACGGAGCGAAACATGGAAAGGAACAGGGAGTGGGGTGGGAGGGGGGAGAGGGGAGGGAGAGGGGAGGGTCGAGGGAAAGGGGTGGGATGGGGTGGGTGGAGGAGGAGACGAACGTGAGGAGGACAAAAAGCGCGTAAGTTTCGCTTACACATCGACCATAACAACTACCTCTCATTTACAATATTCACGACGATAATGATCGACGATCATACCATCTCCATGTAGATCTGAATGTACGACATCGACACCCTGTATGTGTGGGTCGGGTCCGTTCGCGCCATCACGAGCAACCTCTGAGAAGATCTCGCAAATCACATGACAATAATGATCGACGGTCATACCATTTCCATGTAGATTTGAATGTACGACATCGACACCCTGTATGTGTGGGTCGGGTCCGCTCGCGCCATCACGAAGACTTCAGCAGCTGCTCGCGGGATGATCCCTAGGTGCGGAGGCTTGGTGCTCGAGAGCGTGTACGTCTTTCCCGCACCGGTCTGACCGTACGCCATAACCGTGCCGTTGTAACCGTTCAGCACATCCTGTAACGAAAGCACAAAAGGGGTAACTTCAGAGTCGACTCAATAACCGGACTGACCGTCGCCATGACCGTGCCGTTGAGACCGTTGGCGGTGAGAGCGGAATGGAGGGTTTAAAGAGAGCGACGAGAGCGACGAGAGGGACGAGAGCGCATGGAGACAACGAAAGAAGCAAACAAGATATCCAGAACATTTGACCGTTGTACGAACCGCGACGACGGGCTTCGCGGCGACTTGATACACGTCCGCTTGAGTGGCCGTTGGAGGGAGAACGGAGTCGAATTCAAACTCCATCTGCTCCAGCTGACCGTTGCTCCTGTTGCACACCAACCATCACACAACGCGGGTGACAAGAGTGGGTCCCGATGAATAGATGAATAAACTAAAAAATAAGAAGGTTCACAATAGGGCAAGTGAGGTATAGACGCAGAGGTTCTACTGTCCTGATCTCGTTCGCAAAGCCAAGTATTCTAACGACAGATGGTCGAGGCGGGAACAATTCACAGAAGAGGATTTTGACGGATGCTGCCTGTTAAGGCCAACGGTGCTGTCGTGGGGAGACGAATCCATTCCAAGCTCTCCAATGCTTAGTTTCAAGACGACTAAGAAACACAGCACATGGATCGGACGGACGTTAACTATGAAGGACAACGGTGCTGTCGTCGAGAAATATTCGCATCGGGATTATTTGATCGCTAGTCTTTGAGGCGCCTAACAAACGCATGTACCTGACGGAAGCTACCTGTGAAGGACAACGGTGCTGTCGTCGGGGGAAATGTCCATCGCGAACTCCCCATTGCTGGCTGCCTCCTCTGCAGTAGGAGGCCGTACTCGAATCGTCACTCGCACTCGTTCTACGCGCAAAAACACGGGAAATAATTTTGATTGTTACATGCTGGCAAGAGCTCGGAAGTACCGAGAAACTTAAAGCGTCTATGAAGGTCAATGAGATGAACGACTTGAAGGTCAATGGGAAGAAGCACCAGGCTACATGCTCTTAGAGCAGAAAAAACTGAGCGGGAAGGCTATACAATAGAAACACTAACGATAGGACGGCAACCTCGCTCTCCTATGACGGTATACGGTGGTACATCGCTAAACAATGACGTAATAAATTCTCTTAATTTCCCACGGTATCCTATCCTGGCCATTCGAACTTCTCGCAACATGTCTGTCGGTGTTGTCTATCGGCATGTTCTCACCAGATTCTCCTTGAGTGGCATCATCAAGCAGAGACCCGTCTCTGCTGTCTCGCCCGCATCCTTTCTCTCCTTTCCCACCGGCTCTTCCTCGTCTTCTCTGAGAATCCTGAGAGGTATTCGAGCTTCGAGCTCTCACCAGTGAATGAGAACCCTTTTCGCCATCTACGTTCGTCATAACCTAATGTAGTACTTATTTATTGCTACGATAATATCTGGGTCCCGTTCAGCTGTTGACGAAATAAACGCCTCGCTATAAATACGATCAATCTCTCTGTTCTGTTATACAAGGCTGGGTGCGCTGCAGGCGTCGTTATCTGGAATCAACTATAAATTGCAGACGAGACCAAGACACACGTCCAGCGGTAAAATCGAGGCTACTAAAATCTCAGGAAGAAAAGGGACTGAAAGCGCTCCGTCCGTCAATCCTCCGGTTACTCTGTCAGCTCAAACGGAGCAGTATGAAGAAGAAACATTCACCACAGATCATCAGCATTCATGAAGCACCAGGATGGCTTCTTCGCCTGCTGGTCACAAACAGCCTGATACAGCTGCCAGGAGATGGGTCTGCAGCCTGATAGCAGGCAGGATGCTCAAGGCAAGCCAAGAGCAAGCTACCAGTGTGTGGCACCTTGGGAACGTCACAGATGCCTGAAGTCGTTCATCATGGTCATTGGGAATGTCATTGTTGTCATGGTGCCAGAAACATGATCATTTGGAGGCTCGGGGCCGAGGAACCGAAGCTGGAGTATCGAAGCGTGAAAGGTTCAAGTCAAAGCGGTTCGGTACACAAGCATCAATAGGCTTGGGAAGTGTGGGGGAGAACCAGGGCGGGAGCGGCGGAGGAACAGCATGTGCTCCCTTCCCCTCCCCTCCCCTCCCCTCCCCTCCCCTCCCCTCGCCATTGTGTAGTCATTTGCCCCTGCATGGGGATACAGTAGTACATTTCTCACGCGCGCATCTCCCCGCTGACCACAACGAATAGTCGGAATCTGAACACCACGCTGAGAGGCTTGGTGCGGTCCGGCTAACGCAGGTCAGTGACGAAATTCCAAATTGATGAGGGCGTTGCTGGAATAGCGCGACTCGATGGCTGGATGTGTCGGGCTTCATCGGCAACCCGAAGCTTACGATATGAGGCTCGGCATACAAATTTGTTGGAGGGAAACTTTTTCCGCCAATGAAATCAGCTTCACGGAGTAGCGTGGCAGAAGTGGTACTTTCTGCACGAAATTCGTGTTCCTTTTCACCATGCTGAATGTGGTGCTGCTCGGCGGGAAAGGCGTCAAACTAATTGGAGAGAACACCATATTGATATTACAACTCTTTGTTTTCATGTTTCTGAGTTTTGGTATCCAAACACCAAATGATGATGCCTATGGACAGAAAGCAGGATTGGTCAGCGTATAGGACATATCATTTTGGTGCACTGCAGATCTCTACCCATATACGATCTTCCATATCGTGAAGTTGTGAATCTGTTCCCATAAACATTTACTCTAAAATGCACTTTACAGACTCATTAAACACTTATAAACAGATGAACGATGGTTTTCCAACACTAACAAGCAAAAAGACAACCCATACCAATCTTCAGCTCAGAGATCGCTGATCAGAGCTTGCTGATCATCTTTGCGGCATCCAAGCAGTGCGCAGTAGCTAGGTTCAGAGTGGTGGCAGGCGGTGGTTTCTCATGAGCATCCCTCATGTGCTCCACGTCCTTCTCTAGCTCTTCCAGACACCGCTCCACTGCCTCCTCCTTGCGGCCCCACACTGTCCCTCCCTGTACGCCCTGTTGCACCAAAGATGGAAGGAAAAAAAAAGGTAAGGGGATAGCAATCATTTCGCAAAACCGTGGCCTCTTTTCAGCTGTTCACTTCTCCGCAGAAAAAACTAGCATATAATGGGAGCTCACATGCTGGGGGTGGTGCAGCAGCGCGCCGAGCCCAAGATGCACTCGCTCCAGCACAGTGTCGCCAGCCGCGGCGAGCGAGTCGCCGGAAACTAGCGCGTCGTGGCTGTGGTCAACGCCTACTTTTCTCTTCCCGACCACCGTTCCCGTCTTCACGTGCTGCAGCATGCGTGCATACGACTGCAAGAACAGAGTCATCGCTTGGTGGGATGGGAAGACAGGAGTCGGCGGGAGCGTCGCAAGAGGTTCGAGCTCAGGCTCTTCTGCAGGCTCTGGTTGCGGCGCCGCCGCCTTGGACGGGTTCCCGAACCCTGGAGAGAGGATATACATGGGACGGAGGCGGAAATAATCTTTTAAGTTTACGATTTTAAGACGTAACTGAAAATACGTTTGACCCCAGACGTTCAGAACGTCGCACGTAATCTGGTGGTGCGCAGCATTATGTGGGCCTTTATTATCTTCGGAGCAAGTGGAAGGCTTACTATGATACTTAAATGCAAATGAAGTGGCAGCAGATTTGGCGTAAAATAAATGTAATGGACGGTTTGTTTCTGAATAGTCCTCCCAAAAAAGGGAAACAAAGCAACAAAAAAGGGTACATTATGGTGCTACGGATATGTGTATTTTCTTAGCGCTTACATGTGGCAGGGTTGAAAATGTTCACGGGTTCGGGGAGGGAATTATTTGGGGGAGCGATTCGACAAACAGTGACACGCCGCGTATGAAGCTGCTTCGGTTTTGGTGCTCCTGGCGACGCTACGATCCTCGTCACGGTAACGGGACAGCTGAGAGTCGCCATAACTCTGATGAAAGGACTCCTTCGAATACCTTAAATAAAAACCTGAAAAGAGATGGTGGCGCTGGAGGATAGTAGTAAGTAGAAAGAGTAGAGCTACGACGTCTGCGTATGCAGAGGTAATCTAGCGTTCGATTGATATGAGCAAGAGTTTTCAGGTGTGCCGCGAGGAGCAACCGAAATTCTCAATCTCGTTAACGATCTTTGGCCTGGTTACCTGCCAGCAAAAGTAGTTCGCATGTATGATAGAATGAACTGTTTCGCCTTCACAAATCCCACCTATTTTCCCTGGATCAGCGATTTAACGACGAGCGCGAAAGTCGCAATTCATACTACGGAGGCGCTGAATCTTCGCATGTTGTTACCAGACACGTAATGGAACTGGATTTGGATTTTGGAAGGCGTGGCATAAGGTCAACTCACTGCCGGGGTGATTGTAGCAAGCAACTGCTAAGACTTGCTTGTTGTTTCTCCCCGGTAGAGCCGCGGCACACCGTCCACAAGATTTGCGCACGCCATAAACCAACCACACTCCGCGGATGAGAGCGAGTCGCAGTGCAGCCGAAGCCAACCTTTGCGCACAAGCTGAGTTGGTTGGGGTTGAGGGGTCGCGGGCGATGCGAAGCACACGACTCCCGCAAACTTGCCACCGCCAGCTGGCTGTGATGTTGTACGGTTCCAGCAAGGCATCGAAAATGAGCAACTTCGTCAGAAACCACGTTGACCATCGCTGTACGTGTACAATTCTGAACGGCTAAGATACACCAATGTAGCTGTAACAACCTACGATTATTCCACGTGGTCATGAAGTTCCACATGAGCACGTCATCTTTCCTCCTACTGTTTCTGAAAGCTGGCGCGGGTCGAACAGTGCACGTCGTGCGATGTGCCTCAGTGAGGTCGTTGATGAGATGAGCTCTCTGTGGCCATTTTTATCGGTTGACTTTGTAGCTTTCCAGCAGCGCAGAACACATGGTGGAGGATCACGGATCTTGCGGCAGTACACGTCACGCGTCTCATACACCACGACTTTCGATGCTCTTTACACGGGAAAGCCGGTCGATGAACCACCAATCCTCGGCACACGATCACACCGCCAACCAGTGTGATTTAGTGCCAAGATCCAACTCACATTGACCACAAAGGAGACTGCTTTGTCAGCCAGCTGTCGAACAGTTGTTTCCGAGCGCCGTCTCATGACATGGAACTCCGTACACGTACTGGATGGGCCTCTGCACGCCAGAGGTCTCGCTCTTTCTTTGTCAGGGTTTACCCAAACCGGATGGGAAAATCTAGGTAGAGTCATGGTTGATGTGCCAGCGACTGCTGGCTAGTGTGTAGATTCTTTGAGACAACCAGTAACGCTCGAAAACACTGACAATATTGATCTGAGAGACTGGCCGCACTTCATTCCCGCACTTTGCATTGTCCGCAGCACCAGATGCCTCATTCTGTGAGTACGTTGACAGACCAGAGATGGGTGCTGCGACAACTTCACAAAATTTCCGACACATCCAGGTTTCCCAAAGTCTCTGGGTAAGAAACCCAATGAACGATACGGCTTCAATGGTAACTCGCCAGCAATGCAAATCAAAAGTTGGGTTTCCACGTGAGCTTGAACGGAGGAGGTATTTCTAAGCAATGAGAAGCCTGTAAATTATCGAGGGTCTCTCAGCAGAAGTTTTTAAGCACGTTCTTGGTTCCAAAAAGATGGGGCAGTCGTCGCGGTTGGTCGTCGTCGTCGCCAGCCTGTCTGCTGCTCCGTCGCAATAACAGCGAAAGTCCGTCTCTGCTTTTCGCTTTTCCGCGTTCTGCCACCACCAAACTATCCGCTCGGTAGGTTGGTTAGAGAGGTGAGGAGTGAGTGAGGGGCAAAATGGGGAGATGCGCCACGGAGATGAGAGCCGAAGCGCGCTTAATGTGTGCATGCGGCTTGGGATTGTGTGG